GTTGCAGTGATATAGATTAGTCTATTGAGCATGCATTCTTTCAATGCCCAGTCTATTCTTAACCTGCAGACTAGTTGAAAGTTATATGGCTCGCACGCTTTAGGTAGAATTTTGCTCGATATGCTTAGAAAAGAACAGCCATGATGAAGATGAAAAATCACACGGATTTCCAGTATGCCTTTAAGTTAACACAGGTCTGATGAGAGCGATGATGATTGCCCGATAAGAAGAAACACTGTTTGTTTCTGTGTTTACCCGGATGGCACGACAGAACAAAGTTCACGACAATACACTTAATTCGGTAGTTTATATTAATTATATCGATAGAAAATTACGCCAGGGGGTGCGGAAAAGTGTTAATACCGACATCCTTGCCAAAATCTGAACAGCTAAGAGATGATATTTATCCGCACGTCCACATTGTAACAAAATTTGACAGAAGGTTGAAGTTTAATGTGGGAAGCCATTCAAAAATTGCTCAAGTCTCTTCGGATCGCCTCTATCTGGGGGACGTGTCTGGTGTCGGTTAATGATCTCAATTAGAAAGACTGGTACTGCTCAGGAGTAGGACCACCCTGGGTGTTGAAATATTATTAATTTCAAATTCCCAGGTGTATACCAGATAGGTAAGCGATTTAATAAGTGTTGATTCAATGTGGCACGAGGCAACTAGTAAGAATCGAATTCACTATGCGGTTTTAATTGATCTAGCGAGACGAACGTACTAACTAATGCACCATGCCGAAGTGGCGAAGAAATTGAGAAGTATGCAAATTGAATGAAATCATGTATTTCTATAAAAAAAACCGGAGACTGAGGGTTTGATATTTGCTCCCCTACCTGAGGAGTATGGACGCCAAAACTTGAGTAGCAGTGAGTGAGGAATGAATAAATTTTCTATATTTATCAAACTTTAAATGCGATTTTATTGCAAATCTGCTTTCGAGTATTGCGCACAATTGCAAATTGCTTTTTTTCCTAAATGGTTCCAAATATAATATCGATCACACACACACACACACACACACACACACACACACACACACACACACACACACACACACACATATATATATATATAATATTTATTTAAAAATTATAGCATAAGCATCACTACAAAAATAGCAATTTAGTTTCAAAACTTGTGGTGTCTTGTCAAGTGAAGGTGTTAATCTATACCAACGCTATATTATTATATTATATATATATATATATATATATATATATATATATATATATGTGTGTGTGTGTGTGTGTGTGTGTTAGTGAGTGAAAGATGCATATATATATATATATATATATATATATATATATATATATATATATATGCGTGCGTGTGTGTATGTGTGTGTGTGTGTTAGTGAGTGAAAGATACATACATACATATATATATATATATATATATATATATATATATATATATGTATGTAAAATGGATAATTGAAAGATGAAATGGATATGAGACAATATTACGTTTCGTCTCTCGAAAGAGCTTCTTCAGATTAATGGATTTATCAATGAAGTCTTGTAGATGTGGTTGCTGCGGAAAAAAAAAAAACGGTTACAGTATAGAAGATTCTGCATACATACCACTCCATGGATAAAACCATTATTAGTCTGCAGTGCACTTAAGAAACAAAATGCTTAACGTATATATATATATATATATATATATATATATATATATATATATATATATATATATATATATATATTCAGTAAAAACTGTGCGATGTAATGCAAAGTATTGTGTTCTTGTAGTTAGTTATTGTAGTACTTTCTTTTTAAATACTTATGTTTTTATTTAATTAGGGTTGTAAAATAACAATTATGACCAGTTTTGTTCCGGTGTCCATCTATCTATCTATCTATCTATCTATCTATGTCAAAGTAAGCGTTATAAATATTACATTATGTCAATTTACAGAGTCGCTATTTCCCATTTTGAGCTCATAAACTTTTAGTTTTCATTGTTTTTCATACAGAAATATCAAAACTTATTCTATTTTATGCGTTCATCGATTTTAATTGTCTATGATTTTTTTGGTCTTTTATCGTCACTACTGACATCATCAACACTGATCTGTTGGTGAGTAATATATTTATTGAATTTCTTTTCAGCATCTTTCCTTTCTCAAAATAAAGAGATTTTTCACATCTGCTCTATAAAATGGATTCGCATGTCACAAAAGCACACTCGTGTTTATTTCCAGAAACGGATTGTAAGTCAGTGAAACTGGTTTGAGCTCTCGTTACTTTTATTTTTAATTCCCTGTGAAACTATAAACGGTATATATCAAGTATAATGACATTCTTCGAAAGTACGGACAATCGAAATTATATCTTTTCCTATTTTCATATATATATATGCCTAAAATGGAGCTTTCTTGGATAAGAAATAAATAAAAATAAGCTGCTTCACGTCTGTATTCATGGACACTAGTTGAATATGATATAGATCAGTCAGTTATGTGCCGTGCGTGATACACGCTTAGGCGATCATGTATCTTTCGATACATGACTGACGAGGCAGATTTTTTTCCCGCAGTAGAAATACTTTAGGCTCTCGTTACTTTGGCTGGGGGGTATAATTGTGGACTGATGCGGCAATGGCAATTGTGGTGCGGTAATAATGGTGGAAGCGAGCAGGTGATGATAATAACAATTACATCAGCAAATAGTTATGGTAACATGGTAGAAGTGATTGTAGCAATGGTGGCGGAATGGTAATAATAATAGTTATAATTATGATAGTAGTTTAAATTAGAAAATAATTGATGGCGTTATGGTGTCAGTGGTTTTTCTTTTCATGTTCATATGTGTTTTTTTATCCGTTTCGTATAAATTGTGATAATAGGTATTGTCTGCAATATATATATATATATATATATATATATATATATTCTCTCGTTTGTCTATGTTTATATTACTGTTTATTTTAATATATTTGTTTAACTCAATTGCTCTCTTTGTATCTTTATTTCTGGCCCTAACAAGGACACAACAATATATATACAAGAAAGTATACATATATATATGTGTGTAAAAATTATCAGATAGAGTGTATCTGCAGTGGAAACAAAATGCTCTTCTACGATCCGCAGAGTACATCATAAGGTATGTGGAGCTGCAGAGGGGAATTGCTATAGGATGTGCCATCTCTCAAATACTATTTGTGATGATCATGGAGATGATCATAAGTACCGTTTTCTACTGAATGAGGTCAAAATCAGGACATTTAAGGATGATTTAACTCTTCAAGACAATACAAAAGTAGCACAGTTGGTTCTGGAGAGACTTCAGAGTTGATAGAGTGGGGCCAGATGGCCTTCAAACCAAAGAAGGGCAGGGTACTGTCTATGAAGTGAGGTTCTGTCATTAATGAAGTGTTTTCCATCGTAGATTAGAAGATATCAACAGTGCAGGAGCAAGGTGTGAAGGGTCTTGGGAGGTGGTATAACTTCCCTGTGACAGGTCGATTTAAAAGTTTAATAATTTGATGTTTGGTGAATGCATTTTGGGTTGAAAACTCTACATGAGTTGGAACTGTCTTCATTTGAGATAACTGAGAGGAAAATCAGTAAATGCGTACGGAAGTGTCTTGATGTTGCGAGGATTCAGACGCCGGTCGCAGCTCGGGTGTGGGAGTACTTCAGTTACCTGTTACTTTGGTGGAGGAGTACAAGGTGCCAAAGGCGAGATTTCAGTTCATGTTCTGTAAATCTAAAGATGCTGTAAATCGGGAAAATGTGCGGGAGGTGAAGACAGGAAGAAAGTTAAAAGTGTCAGACGTGATGTCAGTAGTGGAAGTGATGGTGTGGAATCATGCAGGGATTCCACCTATTTTTACGTGCGCGCGCGCGTATTGCACCCCTTCCTTTCACGTTCGGTTAGATATAGCAGTAAACAGCCTTTGTTGCCGACGTGAGGAGGTTTTGGCTAGCTAGAACAAGATTTGAAGTTTTCCCGCGCATTCTCTGACGTCACTGACGAACGGCATTTTTCAAGTCAGTCACTGCCTGATTTTCAGACTAGAAGGTCGACTCATTTATTTCGTGCCCCTTACCCATACGCGGGCTGGAATATCTTAACTAACCAAAAACTTCAACATGCCGTGTGATTGCAATTTTCTTCGAACAACTTGTTTGAACTTTTCTCCGTTTTCTGCTAGAGAACGTCGAGTTTACGACACTCTCGTCATCACACATTATCATTGGCCTTTTCCTCGTCTTGACGCGAACAACTTGTTCGAACTTTCCTCCGTTCACTACCAGGGAACGTAGAGTTTTTCTTCACTGAAGATTGATAAACTTCGCAGAGTTTATGGCACTGTCGTCATCACACTTTTCCAAGACTAATTCCTCGTCTTGAAGCGAACAACTATTCGAACTTTCCTCCGCTCACTATTAGGGAACGTAGAGTTTCTCGACTCGGCCTATTGATGAACTACACGTACCTCTTTTGATTTCTAACCTTTACGAACCAGTTTAAAAAATATATAACATTACACACACATTATAAAACCTCGCAGTGAGTATTTTTCCATGTTGTGTATGCATGCACCTTTTGTATAAGAAGAACTTTCCTTCTGAAGAAACTTTTCCCGCCTTAGCCATTTTCATTTTCGTTTTGGCGCGGAACACTAACATTCTACTTGTCACTACATTATACAATTTGCCTACTGGCTAAGAACAGCCTTTACTTTTTCTGATAGTCTCCACTGTTTGAGATAAGATTATTTCTTATTAAAATAAAGTTTTATATTTGTTTTCCACCAGACTCATTTTCGTCGTTTCCTCCTGGCTATCTATATTTTACTATTTTTATGCACGTGTTAAATGACCCTTTTTCCTCACTAAAGATCACACATTTATTATTTTTACTTTGTTAGTGGATTCGGTAGTCGTGAGTAGTGTCCGGCACAAGGCCACCTTTTCGTAGGCCAGCACTGCATGCTACCGGGTCTGCAACAATGATAAAGCAGGCTGAGGTTCAGGGTGTTACAAGGGACATGCTGGACTTGGTCTAGTTGAGAGGGAGCGATTCTGGTCGGAGGCCAGGGGAAAGGAGCAACGGCGGAAGGGATAGAAGTTTATGAAGGAAAGCTGTTTCGGTATGAGGAACTGGTGACTGAAGTCCGTCAGAGGGGATACGACTGCACTTTGGTGCTGTTTGAGGTTGGCTGTAGAGAATTTCCTGCTGCTTCCTTAGAGAGATTCCTCAAGTGTGCTGGTATCCAAAAGCCCAATAAGGTAATAAAGACTTGTGGCGAGAAAGCGGTGAAAGGCATTACATGGATTACCCAGAAATTCGTATCGAATCGCGTCCGACGTAATCATCCAGTTGTTACGGGTCCACTGTGTGGAGAGGTAAGGAGCGTAATAGGCCGAAACTTTGTTGAACGGCTCTCAGCTGAAGATTACAGATCACACATTTACTTGATGTGTACATGTGTTCTATAAGAAATTATATATATATATATATATATATATATATATATATATATATATATATATATATATATTCTCAGATAGAGTGTATCTGTAGTGGAGACAAAATGAGACAATATATATATATATATATATATATATATATATATATATATATATATATATATATATATATATATCGTCAGGCCACAAACACGCACACACACACACACACACACACACACACACACACACATATATATATATATATATATATATATATATATAATTATTTATTTAAAAATATGATTCAAAACTCCCAAGTTTTACATGTTCTAGCCATGTAAAACTTGGGATGACCCATGATCTTTTGTGCCTCCATGAGAAATTGCACATTATTAAGCTTCTAAATAATAATAATCTATTAAACAATAGACACGAGTTAACGGTTTTTTGTAGACATCATCAGATTTTTGGTTTGAATTATTAGCTAAAAACAAGCATACAATATAATAACTTGTTTAATCCATAGCCCAATCATCAGATTCATGGTCTGAATAATTAACTAAAAACATGCATACAATTTAACACCCTTCATAATCCATAGCCCAAATAAATAGTTTAAATACCCTAAAAAACGATAACCCTTTATGAAGTCGTCAAAAAACAAACGTTACGACAGTTTTTTTTATATGCACAAATCCCTTTCATAAAAAAATAAAATAAAAAAATAAATAAATCTCCATAGACATGCAAACTAGACGAGGGTTTCTTCCGTTTCAAATTTAGACACCCCTACCTTTCCCTGACTTGACATCTATGAAAGTAACTCTATACTGATACTTATTATTAACACCCAACACTCGCCTACCCAATTTAAACAATTCGCTCTAGCTGTTACCATGGAAATTTTGATTTCAATTTTTAAAACACGTAAATTTCAGAAATACGTTATTCCAATAAAAGTTTCGATTGAAGATGGAACAGAGCTCACTTTAACTCAATTTAATTTAAATAATTATATTGAAGTTTTCGGCTCTTGTTTTGAAACATGAGACTTCTTATGTCGCGTTTTGGAATCATATTTTTAAATAAATAATTATATTTATGCTCAACTTTTGTATCGAGCACTATTTTTTAAAAATAATAACTAAATTACTAAGGGTTTAGGATTATTTACCTAACCAGTTTCTTCCTATTTTATATATTTTCACACACACACACACACACACACACACACACACACACATATATATATATATATATATATATATATATATATATATATATATATATATGCATGTGTGTGAGCGTGTTTCCTCTGACAATTATGTTTAGAATGAAACTCGCTTCTGGGTATTGACGTCACTCTCCACTTTTATACTTATACACTGTCAATCCCTGATATTGATCACTTTAACCCATAAATATAGCATACCTTAAAACTATATTTTTCTTATTTATATGTATTTGTGTGTGTGTGTGTGCGCGCGCGCGTTTCATATAATATGCATGTTTACATAATGACATTGATATTATCCAATCGAAGTTGGTAAAACTTTCCGGCGGTATTTATATGAGAATATATCGCATACATTACATTTTTAAACATTACAATTTTTTTATATTTACAAGTTTTCAAAAATATTATGTTGCTGGTGCCAGATATTTTGATGCGAACAAACCGAAATTTTATCTAGAATTAAATTAAAAAAAAAAAAGAAAAACATTTACGCCATAGAAATCGGCATAAGAGAAATATTGCAAAAATCAGTTTTTTTTTAATTATATTCCTTTACATGTTATTATGCACTCGTTGACATTCTATTCCTTACATCTCTTTTTATTTATTTTTTTAGCTTTTCTATGGTTTTGATTTGAACATTATTCACAGTAGATTTTAATGTTGGCCAGTGATCTTTGCCTGAATGCTTTTTTTATCCTCGAATCCTTTATAATGGCGGATTGTTATCTATTGGATTAATTCGAAAACCCGCATGAAAGTGGATAAAATGGATAAAAAGCGAGAAAATTAATTTTTAAAGGATAGCTTTTACCTTTATTTGCGTTTTCATTATAGACAAAACTATAAAATATTATTGCAACTCTTTTAGATTATAAAAATAAAGAATAAAAGGAGAAATAAACAAATTTAATATTTTTACGCTATGATAGTCCTTGAAACATTTCATGCACAATGGAGTTGTCCATACTTTGCTACAAGCTGTCATGTGTAGGCAGATTACACCAGGAAATTAAGTCACCGATATGAGCAATGACGAGGTTTTAGAGAAAATGGAAAAAAAGGAAACTTATACTTAACATCAAGAAGAGGCAGTTAAAATTTCTGGGTCATGTAATGAGGAAGGAGGGCATGGAAAATATGATACTCACAGGGAAAGGACACAGAGGAAAACGGCACGTAACATATATAATGGGTGGGACAAGGTTTGGCGAAATAACAAAAAGACAAGATTTATTAAGAGCTACAATCGAGAGAAAGTTATGAAGGGCCATGATCGTCTAAGCCCCGAAGAAGAAGATTAATCCTAGTAAATTTTAAGTTCATGAATCATAGTTACCAATTAGTCTTTTAGACTCGAATCATGAATAAACGATTTACAACGATAAAAAAAATTGTAGAAAGTTTACAATTGACAATAATCGTTGTTAACTTGTTAAGCTTCGGGACATTTTCTGAACTTGATGAGATCGAAATAATTTTTGCAAAATTGTGGAAACGTAAAAGAATATGGTCATGTATGGATAAAATCTATCGCTGCTGGTGACCTCTGTTGTTAAAAAAAACAAACTTTGTCTAAGAATTTGCAATATTTCCCTGCATTTATCTTGTCTTTATCATCAGTGCTGAAAACAAAAACAAAACAAAACAAAAACAAAAAAAATGATATTTCACCCATCTTTCCTTTCAAATCCTTTTGGTTGAGTATTTCTAGGAGAATTCAAGTTCAAGCGCAAACCAGCCAATTTATCTCTACATTCAACTACTTGATGCCCATCCAATGTAACTAAATATTACTTGATAAGCAGTCAATGTAGCTCTACATTCAACACTAATGATTACATGTTGTCCAGAGAATATAGTTTCCCATTCCAAAGTAAAGATTACCTGATATCCAGCCTATGTAACTCTACGTCCGACACTAAATATTACGTCATATCCAGTCAATGTAGCTCTACATTCAACAGTAAAGATTACCTGATATCCAGCCTATGTAGCTCTACACTCAACACTAAAATTACTTGATGTCCAGCCACTGTAGCTATATATTCAACATTAAATAGTGTTGACTAATCATGATTGAGAAGGCAGTTTTTTTACTTTCATGCCTTTAGCTTATATTAATATTTTCTCTCTATATTCACATCGCCTACTTTTCCAGATATTTTCTTTTCGGAAATATCACTTATTCATTTAATTCTTAGTCCTTTTACGTTTTCTGTAAACATTTTTTGAAATTTTTCTTGTTGCTCTATTACCAATGTGTTCAATTTCTTTTTCTACTTGCTCTATGATAATATCTAAATAGGATTGGACGATTTCTTTAACTTGATGACATCAAAATCAGTTTTGCAACTTTGTGGAACGTAAAGGAATATGTTCCTGCACGAATAAAGCGCCGCTTGTGACCGAGGGGGGGTGCAACTGAACCGTTGAGAGGAAGGCCCCGAAACGGTGCACATTCTCTCCTGATGACCCCAGTTTAAAATTCGAGAGGAACACATCAAATTCAATGAAGTCATATGCCGTAGTGAAGCTCGGTGGAAGTGTCATTGGCATGAGGAGCATTACACATTCAGCTCGCTTCAGGTGAGTTTCAATTACTTTCCAGTAATTTCCTTCTTCAAAATACACCTTATATAAGAATTTACAATTTACAAATTTACGTTTCGTTCACTCAATACCTTTACAATATCTTGTTTCTCTCTTGAGATTATAGCCTGCCAATATTGATATATCTAAATTAACAAAAATAAACTGTTATATATATATGTTACAATGAAGAGAAAGAACAGTAAGATATATAATCCGGTGTTCTTATTAACTATTTTTATTTTTACAAAACAGTGTTCAATGCAAATCTACAGAGCATAAATATTATAAATTTACTAATTTAAAAATATGGTTCCATCGCTATACAGGAATTACCATGTTTCAAAAGCAGAAACTAAACACTTTAAATTCAATTATAGAATTAAAATAAAAGTCTCTAGTTCTGTTTCATTTTCAAGCGAATTTTTGGAACAGCTTATTTTGAAATTTACTAAATTTTATAAGCACATACATTCATAATATTAGTTTCTAAAGATACGTGAAAATTCAATCATTTTGACAAGAGGTCGTAGGGTATTCATTTTCACTGACAACTATTGTATCAAAATATGAGTTACTTTCGTAAAGAGGTTAAGTTAAGGTAGGGTAAGGATGCCTTTTTTCAACGAATGAAGACATCCGTTCAACGCATGTCGTCTGGTCTTTATTGATGACAAAATTTTTTCTGAACTTTTGTTTCGCTGTTAAATTTGTAATCTATACAAAAAGTCTTTTCTAAAAGGGTTGATTGTATATGCGTACGTCGTAGTGAACTAAAATTTTAAAATACTATTCCTAATTCTAATTACTAATAGACTATTCTTCTTCTGTGTATATATATATATATATATATATATATATATATA